AATGTGACAAATTGCGGTTTATCGTTTTTTCTCTTTTTAACAGGATCGTTTGGCGTGATTCAGAGTGTAACACTAAGCAGACAAGTGGTAGATTAGTAGAACTATATGCAGATGAACACGTTGATGTTATCATAGGACCACCATGTTCACAAGGTTAGTTTTCAGATATTTTGTCGAGAAGTATTGTACAACGATTGCGTATCGTGAACCGATATAAAATGGTCAGAAGGAGTGATGTGTTTTTTTAACCTTATGTGTGATTTTTTTCAGCATGTCTTTCCGCCGGACAACTTGCTTCATTCTGGAATTTACCAATCATTTCCTGGGTAGCGACAGATCCCGAGTTCAATGACAAGACAAGATATACAACTCTAGGTCGGTCATTAGGTCCTTTCACCAAACTTGGTACATTTTTAACGGAAATAATGGAAAGATATAATTGGAACAGAGTTGTTGTTATTGCGTCTACATACCTTCTGTTCAAAGACGCGGCTAATGCTATCGTGAAGGTGAGTTAACTCGATGGTTTAACTCTTGTATTAAACTAAATCTTAATATTAATATGTTAAAGTAGAGTCTTATCCAAATTTGAATAGCAAGAAGTCGAGAATGTCCTATAAAACAACTAGTATCTCTTTTTTCAACATCAGTACAAATCTCCCACGCAGACTTGTATTTCTACGAATATATCTCTGCCACCACGCGATCTTATGCTTGTCGTTGATTGGTCGAGGCGTCACAGTGGCACTACATACAACAATATTTTCGATTTTCGAACCTAATGAAAGCGTACGCGTTGTTTGTAGATTCTGGATGTTTTCAAAGTGAGAAGCTCATTTTTTTACTTTTTGTAACACAAATGGAGAGGCAGTAAGACGAGTTAGCTGTCAATACCTTTCGTTTGTTTATATCGCCTGGCAATAGACAGAACAGTCAGCTTGATGAACGGAACAACACCTTAGTAACCGTTATTCCGCGATGAAATCATTTTATTTTGTAAAATTATTTCACACTTTTCACTGCGTTTACTAAACGATCATTATCAGAGATCGATAATATATTTTGAAACGTCTTTATTAGTAAAAAAATCAACACTAAAGCCCTATAATAACAAAAATACATAATATAATAATAAAAAAAACGCAAATACGCGTGGAAAAACTCTGGTGGAGTTTCACCACAATGGCGATGTATGGTGGCAGAGACACTTTCGGTTTTCTGGTCGCAAGGATCTCTGGGAGGAGAATGTATCACTACTAAAATACGCGTTTAACTATTCAATAAGCGTCTCTCCTGAGTTGGATATTGCAAATAGGCACAGCTGTTATCTTTTATAGATATGAGAATTTTGAGTTTATGAGAATGAAAGGATATCAAGGACGTACAATACAGTGGGAGTAATAGAAGTCGATGCCACTGTGTAATGTGTACTGAGTGCTAGCTTGGGGATTATTTTATTATTTTAAGTTGTAGTGTAATAACCTTATTATCTTTTATGTTTTCACGATCTATGTTTGCTGTGGGACATATACAGATGAATTTGTAGTAGATTTCACAGACACATTTAGCATAGCACTATATACTAGGTTATTGACATTGATTATTTGCATTACAGACATTTCAAGAAAATAACGTAACCATGGCATATTATGCTACGTACGATAACAACCCAACACAGAAGTTTATTCAGAATATTTTGACAAAAACAAAGAGAGAGGGAAGAAGTAAGTTACAATCTAATTATATACTTGTATTTAAATTTCAGCATCTACCATATGACATTTTCCCAAATATTTTGGAATATGGAATATATCCAAGAAATATGAATTCATTATGCACATATTCGTGGCTAACATATACACTTCCATCTGGACTAATAAAAGACGACTATCGCTTATTTGTCGAATCATTGTTAACCTAATCAAAGAAACCAGACTTGGTGGTCGAAATACAATTTGTTACTGTATTCGTATCTTGAATTTTCAAGGTGAATGTTCCGGCACTCCACTATCACCTTGACGTATTTCATTGACTATGTGTATGTGACAATATCCTTACAGTTTAGAATCAGTTTACCAACAGCCAATCATATTGCTTATTTCTTGGCCAAGCTATCAACATCTTCGAGGTAGAGCTAAGTCACAAGACAATTGTGTAAATATATGCCAGGACGTAATGATTTCTCCCGACGTCTGCAAATTGTAGAAGTTTGATTGATGCAGTGCGGCATATTTACACGAGCGTCGGGAAAAGGCCATAGCGCACTGTTACAACAAGTGTTCCTAGATAGAAAAAGCCGTAACCACGTCATCTAAGAAGTTTTTATGAACAGCGTTCTGTTTATTCTTCTGTATATTAATTGGTTAATGCTGGTTTTTATTCTAATCATATGCAAACGTTGGCAGACGCGCGCTCGTTGCACTCTTTGCGAATTGTGCGCTTCATTTCATTTGGTGTTACCACCAATGCAAACGTCAATAGAATGGAAAGTCGGCGTGACTTGCATAACGTGATGGGTGAATTGTTGTTTACTCAATTTCACGTGAACGGTTCTTCCCTACGCTTGGCATATTAGATTAAAAGAGATGAATAGAGAATATATTTCACATCTACGGCGAGTTTAACACATTTTCGCCACGTGACTAATTTGCCTAATTATAGAACTTCAGTTTTATAGAAATAAAGAAATAAATTAGTCAATGAAGAAGCATAATTTGTTGCAAAATCCTTCAAACTTGATAATGATGTCAATAAAATAGATCCAGCATACTGATAATGTCATATTCAGTGTTCTTCATTGTTCCTAAGAAAACTCAACTGTAAAACGTGCTATTTTATCTCATTTGCATATAAGCTCTTGATACTACCAATGGTATTGCAACGGTAATGACTGTTAGTAATCTGCGGTGTATATGTATTATTTAATGCTTTTACAGTTGTTGTTATTTGTGCACCTAAACGGGATCGGCGCATGTTGTTACTGGAAGCATACGATATGGGCATGACTACGGGTGAATACGTGTTTTACACAGTTGAAATGTTACCTGAACAAGATGTCATCACTGCTGAAGAAACGTTTCTAGGAGATGATGGTCGTGACGAAGACGCCAGGAAAGCATTTGGAGCCGTATTCCATGTAAGTGCACATATATGAAAAAGGTGAATAAATTTCCGCAGCAAAGACGGAACACCACACGAAAAGCAAATATTTCATTTAAATAGCTAATATCGTATTCAGATTTTGAGAAATAGATATAGCACTTTTTCGTTTTCTTAGATGTCGTTGGCAGCATTGAGCGGCGAAGAGGTAGACCAATTCACCATTGATGTAGTACGGCGTTTGAAAGACCCGCCATGGAATATAACATTGGATACCAGCATTAAGGTATAGAGATGATGTTGTAAAAGTCTTACGAATAAATTTATTTTTTTTGTAGGGAAGAGGGATGGGGTGACTGATGGCGGTCCATGTATTATTTCTGTAAATTTAAAGAATGTGACCATGCATTTCAGTAAGTTTGTATTATTAGAACCACCCGGAACCAACCATTTCATACAGTTTGCAGATGCATGCGCAATAACCAGACAAACTAATTGACTTCTTGAATTCGGCAATTTTACTTTGTGAAAATCGCGGTGTGATTTGAATGTCCGTGAATCCACCAGCAAGTATCAGAGTGTGGCATCCAACAATCTAGCACAACATTCTCGATATAAACTGTACATGGACATATTATCGTTCTTTCAACGAATTTACTGACATCATATACTCATCTGCCGATCCCCGATCCGCTGCAGACATGGCTGCACGTTTTTTTTACGTATTCAATTTTTCAACTTTTTTGTGTTGTGTTACCAGCGATTAGAATAGGCGCAATCTTTTCAGCTACTCGTGCCACGCAGTATTCATGTTTTCCGTTTTGGCATTTCGATGAACAGCCTGTACGGTGTGTTGGTGTTGTTCATTCTTTGTGCAGACGCCATTGGAGTGGAACGTCAGTGTGATTTGCATAAACGATGGGATGTATTATTCTAGTGAATACGACATTTTGTAATGGTAATAAAACCGAATGCATGCCTAAAATGTAATATTAATATTAAATATCTATAGTAGCGCATGGGATCTTTTTGATTAAAGTTGTTTTTCTATTCAGGGAAATAAATATTCCGCTTTTCTACATGATGCGATGATACTATACGCTTTGGCGTTGAACGACACGGTGTCAAATGGCTTTGATTATCGTGATGGTGAGGTAATGTTGAGAGCAATGGCAGGCAAGTTTTTTAAAGGTGAGTGCCTGTCTGATACAAATTAGACATACGGAATGATGATAATCGTTCAAAACCATGTGATGTCTTTTTTAAATTTATAGAAATATTCTTTGAAGATAGATCCTTGGCTGATAGACGGAGACTGGAGTGTAATGCTAGGGTTGTAAGGACTACCGTTATGCGAAACCATGCAGCAGTAGATGCCTCTGAGCAAGACTTGTATTGGGGTTATTTAAAGTAGTTAATTTCAAATGAAAGTGAACATGGCTAGGTTATCTAGAAACCACTGTGAGAAGACACCAACATGGCATTGAGTGTACTCACTGGAAGCCTTGTACCATGTAGTACGGTTCTTTACGTCTGAGTGTCCAATCAATTCTCATGATTAATACATTACGTCATAGCAGGGTGTTCAAGAATGCAGTACACTGTTTGTACAATGACATAACATACTGAGGTTGAAAGTTAACTGTCTTACTTTGTATGTGTTCAAAAACGTGTTAGTTTTCTCTTAATTGTTATGATGCTACGTCAATTATACAAATGTAATGATAACACTGGAACATTATTCTTATTTTGTACCAACATTTGAATTGCCTGAATCGTACTGATAGAGTGCGTGTCTTTAATTATGCTAAAACAAGATTGATGAAGT